GCGGAGCCCAGCGGAGCAATCCATCGGATCACTCAGGATGACCTGAATTGGCCACCAACACACCCGGGATCGACTGGCTCCATATAGGTTTTTTTCTCCCTCGAGAAGCCGTGGGTCTATCATACAAGCTTGTCGCCAATTCTGGACCGTTTTGATGGGCTGGGCTTGGAAGACCTTGCCCTTTTCGAATTCAGGGTTGCTACGGATTCACACTTGACAACCACTCAGCCCATCGCGATTGTTTGCCGGATGCACACGTTGGCTCCCACGCTATCCCATGTTGACTGAGGTTCTCATAGAGCAAACAACCAGCAGGAAGCATGGAGGAGCATCGTTGAGTTCTTTTGGGCAAGCGAGTTCAACCATCCTTTCAACGAATTGACGGCTTCAAACGTGTTGATACGTCTTCGCACCCTGTGGGCGACACCTTTTCGCACGATCCAATCTCGAATCCCTTGGCCTTCGGTTCCCCCTCCTCCCCGCTCCAGCTGGCACCAACCCCTGAGGCTGAACGAGTCCTGAGCAAATGCAGCTCGATGGATTCGGTCCAGAGCCCAAACGAGCCAGCGCAACTTCAAAGGGAAGGAGTGGTCAGTCCCATCTCAGCTTTGGTTCATTTTGGGTTCCAATTTGGCGTTCACCCTTCAGCAAATCATCAAATCCCAAACTCCGACTATCATGGCCTAGATGGACCCAGTGATCTCGGGAAGGAATGTTGCAAAATGTTGCAGGTGTGTTTAATCATGTTCAACCTATCGAACGGATGAAGACTTTTTGTTCATTGGTGTGGAGACCCGTCTGGCCACGGAGGCTAAGATGGGGGTACTTGGCCCCCTGGAAGCAGATAGACTTTAGCCAGGGGGCCGACCTGTTTTTCAAGGTCACCAAAAAAAATTGGTCTAGACAAGAAAACTATGTTAACAATAAAATCAGTCTGAGTCTATCTCGGCTTGGATCTAAGGTTGGCTACCCCCCTTTTATCAGAGGGATTTTCAAGAGAGGTTGGGTTGGACCCCACCATTTTATTTGGAAACTGATGTTGGACCAGAGAGAGAGAGAGAGAGAGAGACAGAGAGAGAACTGTAGATTGCTGACCTTTGTTTGTTGTGTAGCCGATTGCGCGTTGGCCTTTACCATTTTGTCAAGTGTCAGTATTTGTCCTCTGTCACCTCTGAGTTATGTTGGTTGCTTTTGTTGGCATGCATGGCAAGCCCTTGCCTCTGGCTGTGTGCTGATACCACAGTGCTCCAAAGAAGGAGTAGTAAGGAGAAAGAAGGGATTTGTGCTTACAAGGGCAATTTTTGTTTTATTCTTTGAAGCTTGGTCCCTGCCACTTTAGCCACACATTTTATTGCTAGGTGAGGTCCAAGCACAATAGAGAATCATACCATGGTGGGATGATGCAAGAATATTATAATGTCCAGGATGCTGACCTGTTCTGCTGCACACCTGTTTGCATGTTGGCCCATACCATTTTAGCTAGTGGTCCCCTGTCAACCTTGTACCCCCTTTGTCCATGCACTTCCCCATGGGTGCATGTTTGCCTTGCAAAGAGGATGCCCAGTCCTCAGCTTTGGTAGTCTTTGTTTTTGCTTTGAAGCTTGGTCCCTGCCACTTTAGCCACACATTTTTTGCTAGGTGAGGTCCAAGCACAATAGAGAATCATACAATGGTACAGAGTCGTACAAGACAGACAAATCAGAAGCAGGCGCAAAAATAAAATCTAGGGGGCTGACATTGCAGCTGATTGAGAGTTGACCAGGCCTTGCAAATCGGGTGTGCGAGCTGAATCTCGATACAGAGTGGCACCGCTCAATTTACCCAGGAAATGGACAATGATGCGAAAATATTGAAATCTTGGACCCACCCATTTCATTAGCACTTTGGAGGCTAGAATGGGGTTGGCCCCCAGGGGTCCTAGGTGATTTGGCTGTGGTGGAGATGGAAATTCACCTTTTGCCGTGGGCCTGGTGTGAAGGTGTCGCCGCGAAGCCTACGTAGTTTGGGTTGGTGCGAGGAAACCCCAACGGTTGGGGTTCGCGTCACCAAGGCGAAGAAGTTTTTCGATTGGCTCCGGGAGCAAGCAAGTGCGGGTGAGCTGGTAAGAGGCAGGCTGTTGTATAAGAGCTGGTAAGAGGCAGAGCTGATAAGGGAGCTGGAGCATTCTTCAACTTTTTGGGAGGTGTGCCAAAGATGAGTTTGCCGGTCATGAGAGGAGTCCAACAACCTGCAGATTTGGAGAACACCTCAGCATGTTTTGTTGGCATGCTGCCATATTTTGCTATTCTGACCCGCATTCATATCGGGCAGCAGACTGTGGTCTCAAGGGGGGGGCAGGGCGGGCCAGAAATTCGAGCAGGAAGACCCTGCACTTTGCAAGATGTGAAGGAAGCAGAGCAAAGGCCGGCGCCTGAGTTTTGACCCACGCTGCTTATGTTGTTCCTACAACGATATGGCAGCAAAGGCACTCAAGAACGTCTTTTAACCCAGTCCACCACACCTTCCAAACATCACACCTAGGAGTCTCCAATGGACTACCCTACACATCCCTACACTACTTGCTCATCTCCGTGTTTCGCACCCCTTTGAAGGTCCAGGTTGCCAGGTTTGACATCTTTCAGGTGCAAAGACGTCTGGGTGAATCAGGCCAAGGACCTCAAGATCCCATCGATTCTCCGTCAGGTTTTCGCATTCTCCGTGTGGGTTTTCCCATCGTTCTGAAGGTCTTTGGGTGTTTGAAGGTGTTGGGGTGCCAATTCCGCTCTGAATTGGGGTGATTTGTGGATGACATGTAGACCCATCCAATCAGTGGAATATAGTGGAATATAACTGAACCAATTGCAGAGACCCATAGAGACCCTCACCACCCGGCACCCAAGCCGGCGGTTTTCAAGTTTCGCGCATACGGGTCGTGTGTTAACAACCACGAGTTATGCAAGACAACATAAGACAACCACTCTTTGGGACTCGTTTGAAACAAACATCGGGATAGATAATATATATTATGTGTTTTTTGGGAAGAATCGGTTTGGATTTGGATTTCATCGAGATACATGCAGTAGAGTTTGGACGTCATACTATTGTGGAAATTGGTTTTCAATGGTTTGAAAAACATTCTCAACCTGTGCATTTCAACAAGGGTTTTGAGCACATGTGTGTGTGTGTGATTTTTTCTGTGTTTCGGATTCTCGCACAATGCACCTCAAACAGGACAGTGACAAGGAATCGTGTGGGGCCCCAGAATTCTTAGACAGTAGGCAAAAACAGGAAGGATGACCTGGCAGATGAAATGAAAGTCCAACTAGGTCCAAATTCCTTCTGTGCACTACCTGCCTACATGGAAGGTGTTTCCTGGTCCTAATCCATTCTGTGGATTCAGAGGCAGGTCATTCCTTTGTGTTTCGTCATCGACCGCGGGTCACCGGTTTCGGTCTGCACCGGGTTTCGGTCGCCATCCAGAGGGTGCGATGAAGAATGACACCCCCGCTCTCCTTCGGTTTTATGTGTTTAAATCTCTCCAAGATGGATGATTCACATGTTTTTGAAGAGGGATTTTGACCTGTTTGGGTCTTATTCTCGCACTCTTTTGGTTCTTGTCCCAGCCGGCTCACTTCAACCTGAAAAATCCACCGTTTCCAATTTTGAGATCCACTGTCTTTGTGCATTTCTGTCGAGTGAGAAGATCAAGCAATCGCAGCCTAGCCTAGCACGAGGGACTCCGAGGGACGGATGACATTCATTCGAAGTTGTTTGACTCATTTTTGACTCCCAGAAGCAGCTCCAGCTCGAGCTCGGAACGCCTGGGACTCAGGGGTCTTGGCGCCAAGCGACTTTGCCTCAAGAGTAGCTTCAGAGTCTCCAACTCAAAAGTCCGTACCTGATGAGTTGCTTGAGCGTTTTCTTTTATATAAACAAAATCCATGCAAAACGTTCAAATCGCAGGGTGTGTAGTATAGTACTGTATGTGGTGTAGATGGATTTCATTGCCAAGAAAGTCTTTTTGAGTGGTGCTATTGCTATTGCTTTTATACCTAGATCAAGTAAGGAGACGGGGGCAACAACTGTAGGTAGCTGGAGACTAGTGACTAGCTGATCTCATGAAGATGTTGAATGGATGCTTTGAACAACCAGCTTTGGTCATCCACAATTAGGATCATCACAGCGGCGGTTCATTGGCTTTGAGTCTTTGAGCTTCCAATTATAGGCTTAGCGTCAGTGTGGGTTGTCTCGCACCATGTACCATGTGAGGCGTCAATTTTTGTTCCCTTTGGAATTGCGATGAACTTGGCTCAAATCCCAAGACTGTGACTATGCTTGGCAAATTGGGTTTTTAGCAACTTTTAGGTGGGGTACACCCCTGTCGAAGTCGATCAAGGACCAGATGTTGCATGAAGAATGGAACCACATCCTTCAATGCCAATCTGCTGTGCACAGCCCTATAGGTCACCCCGAAACTTGGGCTGACCGGCTGACCGTCTCACCATATCCTTCAAAATTCCATTTGTACTTCATCCTCAAGGTCGACGGACCAGGTACTTGTCGCGTCACACACACATGAGGGGAGGAGAGATGCCATTACCCCTCAAAGGGGAGAACGACCAGTGTCATTGCGCGTCCCCAAGAATCCAAGAGTCAATAATCCAAAGAGACACAGAGACACATGTTTCAATTTCTCCACGTTGCCCCAGGCAGTTGAGATTGTGTTCTTCGAAGACATACACAGATGACATACAGGAACTGAGATCCGGAACTGCCCCGTTTCGACCGTTTCGGCAACCTTCTTCTCGGTCGCGTCTGGTCGGTCACGACCGTGTCGCCTCAGTTCGCTCGCGCCGTTCACCGCAGCCCGAGACTGAAACCCTGCATTTGGCGAGGCCGAGAAGCTCTTCTCGGCCGAAGCGTGTTCGGGTGTGGAGAAAACAGGACCTCAAAGGGCAGGAAGTCTTAGTGGCCCTTCAGAAAGTCAAGAGAATATGAAAGAAAGACCAACTGGCCCAGCACTCGACATTTGGTTCAAGTCCTGTATCCACACCCGAAAATTGCGAAAATCATCCATGATGCTCCTTGCCGTGCTGCTCAGCAGTGTGAGCCTCACGTTGGCAGCTTTCAGCCAGGTGGTCTTTGAACCTGAGGCGGCGACCAACTCACTGCTGCAGCTGCAGCTTCAGCTGGGGAAGGACCCCCCCAGCACTGCAGCACTGCAGCATTGCATGCATTCCCTCCAATCAGTCCCAATCCGAATCGATTGTTTAAAGTTGATTTAAGGCTTTAATATGCTGTGATATTGGTATAATGAAACCATCAGGACGACGGGGACTTGTTCGGACCAAACTCATCCGAACTCAGGGTGGTGTTTTCTTCGCCGCCAAGACTCGGTGAAACGAGATGAATTCGGGACACGGCTGGGTCCGGTCAAGACAGAACTTAGACCCCGTGGGAACTCTCACGCACACATCCACACAAGGGGCATGTATGGTACTGTATATAGTTTAATAAATGGGCATGATCACCAACCATGGCTGGGTTTCGTTTAAAGACACCCTTCGAAACCACGGTGTCGAACTGGGAGGTCTCCTGACTTTAATACACACCCACATGCCCTTCCAACATGTTTAATAGCTATATAATATGTATATATATATATACAGCACCTTCCAACAGGTCTCCTTTGGAGGGTTGTTAGATGCTGTTAGGCCCTAACAGGTTTCAATTGAGCAGCGTTCTAAATTCACCCTTTCTTTTTAGTCAGGGACCGGCGAAAAATCAGTGAACATAGTGACTTTAGCTGATGTTTGTAAGGTGTCCGTAAGGTTTGCCGTAAGGCCGTAAGGATGTGCAAACTTGAACGATGCCGGAAGGCTACCGGAAGCGACACTTGTTGATTTTGATTATGTGTCCTTTCTTGTTTTGCAACAACATTTCATATGTGACCATAGTGGACTTGCATACCTTCGCCGTAAGCACAACGTAAGAATAGCCATGCATACAATATATGTCACCGTAAGCAAAAGATAGAAAAACGAAAGCTTTGCGTAAGGCCTACCGTAAGGTTTGATTTCTCGGCAAGAAAAGACAACACAATTTTGAACACCGCTCAATTGGTGACCTGTTGGAGGTGCTGGTACATATACATCAGTCTTCCTATGTTTCCTCCACCAGTTGTTTTTTTCTTCAGCTTTCTCAATCATCAGAACCTTTTTGTTCCAGAGAGTCCACCTTTTGTACCTTTGGCATGCTCGACCTTTCTCGTGGCTTCTTGTCAAATGGTAAGTACGGTGTGTATAGGAATCATCAAAAGCAGCCTGCTAGGGCCAGGAATCATCAAGGTGTTTCCTCCGGTCTTCACAACCAACCCAGGGTCTTTTGCCCCTACTCTTCACGACGTGTGTAGTGGAAAACCGACCCATGCGGTGCGACCCTTCCATTCGACCCCGGACGGGTGCGGTGCAGCGAGGACTCCTCCGCTCCGGAAGAGGAAAGCGATGATCCCGCTGATTACTGGCTCAGCCGCTGGGCAGACAACGGCCACGTCTTGTGGCGGCATAATATGTGGAGCACTTCTTCAGGATGTCCTAGCCATTTTTGATTTCGAGGAACTTTGGGTTGTTGGGTTACGGATGTTACGGGCCGAGTATCAGTGGTAGATATCGAATCCTAAGAAGTGCCGAGAAGGTCATTCGGGGTCAATTGCAGCAGGTGAACAGCACTTGATGCCCGGATCCAAATCAAAGGGTCCCAAAAACCACCCCGCAGATCTCCAGTACCAACTTCTCGGTTTTTGGATTGGGCTGCTGGGATACTGGTTCTCAGATAGTTCAGCATGCCATGTAGATCATGTAGACTCGTTATATAATCACGGTGATGTTGTTCACAAGTGTTGCCTGAAGTTTCCTAGAGGTTGCCTTATGATCGACCCGAACAAAGGGAAACAGGCGCCTAGAAGGTCGCCCGGGTGAACCTCTTCCCGCATGGGAAGGGAACGGCCATTCTTTTCACTGACAGCTTCTTGGGCCAGACATGAGGCTGGTGTTGGGATGGTCATCATCCTACAGATCAAGAGTTCTTCCTGCTGCACATTGGGAAGGCCGGAGTTCGAACAAACATCCGGAATCATGCGATCCATTTTGATCCTGGATCCCAATTCTTCTTCCTCTCCCCTGATGCTTGGCCATGGATTCCGAAGATTCGAATCAGCCGCTGAGAAAACCTGCTTCAATCCGTGGATCCTCCGCACCCCCGGCCCGGAGTGGCCGTGGATCCTCGGCTTTTCACAACGAGATAGACTTGAGGATTTGCTCCTTATTGGAAATTGAGGATTTGCACGAGCCTGAGGGTACGTATATAGTCTGAGGCTATCTCAACCAGAAAGTCAAGATCGATGATAAAGGGTTGCCAGATTTGATGACACTTGTTTGAAGGGCTGAAATATGAGGTGTAAGCCATTCAGAACTTGAGCGGCTTGAGAGGTGGGCGGCTGTTCCTTGGTCGCGGACCTCTCCAAGTTGGTGAACCGCAGCCGAATTTGGACGCAACAGGCAAGGCCCTCATGTCATTGGGTCCGGTCCGGTCATGCAAGAGATAGTACAGTATAATACAGGTCGTTCGGACCAGGTTTTACGTCCTTGGACTGGTCGGATTTGATTTCACCTCCACACTCAACTCCGATGGCTCCAAGATCGTTTTTTCATCGGCACAGTGGATTGACAGGTGGCAGTTTTTCTTGGCGAAGAATGTTTCCTTGTTACATACCGAGGTTTTTGTTTTGTTTTGGCCATTGGGTGGTACAACTGGTACAACTATAACTATACTATTTTGCAGGAGTCAGAGATGGGCATTGAGTTTCTTTGTTGTTGAGTCGCTGCTACGATGACGTTGGTTTCGACATGAACTCAACTTCTGTTTGCTTTCGCCTGGGTTCAGGGTTGCTACGCCATGTCACGGGCGGGCCACTTCAAAAAGCCTCTTGGGCACCAGCTTGGTGGACGGCGGGGCCAATGCAGGGTGCAGAAACCCAGGTCCAGGTCGTTCTCAGCTTGGACTCCACGCGTCGTGTCACGGTTTTTCGATTCCAGACTTCCTGGTCTTCCTGGTGGATTCCGTGAGTGGGGCGTTTTTTCACACATGGAAGATCGATGAGCCGGGGTGCAGATGGGTGGGTGGGCCGAAGAAACCACCGTTAAAAAAACCATCAAAGCAACAGCAGTCCTGGATTGAACAGGAGAACTGTTTAAGGATTGAATTCACGTCTACAATTAGAATATATTACTACTGTACCATCATTATCTAGAAGGCGTATTGTATAATTGAACACTCTTAACCAACATGTCCTTGTTTGCCACAGCACAATTACATACACATGTGTTGAACGTTAAAACCAGTGATATTCACAATGATGATACAGGGGTTGGTGATTGCTCGAAACATTGATCCCTGCAACAAGTCTTTGGAATGGTGTGCCTTGGAAGAGGTTGCACTGCATTCCAGCTGATTTTTGTTTGAGACTAGGGCCAGTATCCCAAACCCCTGCTTTCTCTTTCCGAACCAGGCTGCCCAGTGGAATCACATATCATTACATGGAATCATATGAAAGTGCAGCAAGCTGGTGCAAATAGTTGACAAAGTGCAGAACTTCCCATATATCGTGTCAGCAACACCCAGGGGTGTTTGTTCAACAATGATCACCCTAACAGAGGCCTCACAAACCATCAAATGCATATATGCTCTACACACATCTACACGCTTGGTTGTGCCGACACAAACACAGGGCTATTTCCGGATTTGTTGGCCCCCTTCTATGCTATGGCCAATGTGTTCCTGTTTTGTCGTCTTCTCGACTGGGAAAAAAAAAAAACGTGGCCGGTCGCCGTTCGGGTCCTGGCCGTCCCGAGGACTTTTGTGATGCTTCGCAGGCCGAGGGACTTGGTCTTGTCCATGTACCACCAATGCTCCTGGCCCGGAGGGCCCGACTCGCCCGAGTGGCACGCGATGGAAGAACTGGGCGTGGCGCCAGGCATGCCAGGTGTTTCGGCCAAGAACATCAGTGCCAGGTGGCTGCTGGGGTGGAACATGCAGTGAGGTGTGAGGAATAGATATTGAGGCATGTCACATTCACTTGCCCTTGTTTCTTCCACTGCCTTCACTTGCCAGCCGAGTCCACTGACTCCGGCTTCTAATCCACAGTCTCGGTCGACCTTGGTCCTTGTCCTTTTGTTGTGTTGGTGGCCGATGCGGTCGGCCCATTTGCCTGAGGCAACATTTTGCCTGACTTTGCCACCTGGGTCCACACTTGGTCTCATGATGCTCCCACCGAAGACTATGTGGCTGAGACGACTTGCGGGTTCTCTTTGAGAGAGTGTGGTAGGCGGTTGGTTTGCCAGGAAGCCAACAGGAAGTTCAGATCGACAAAGAAGCCCGATCAATGATCCGTAGTTGTTCATTTCACTATTGTGAAATTAGATACATCCACATACAGACAACAGATGACCAGGCTTTACATCTCTCGCACGTGACCCTGGCTTGTGAATTCTTTGGATACTTTGTGTGGGATTGTTTGGATTCTGGACTGAACTTGTTCCATGCAGGCTTCCAGCACTTATTTTCAATCATCTGTGCTTTCAACCAGATTTGGGTTCAAGTTTGCCATTTCCGTCAGCGTGTTTCGATCAGGTGGCCAAACCATTTTGGAACGACAAGTTCCATTGCAATGATCCTAGGCGCCTCGAAATCGACGATCACATGGCACCCCAAAACCCGACCACGCCCATTGGGGGTGTTGGAGAGCCCATCGCCTGGTTCAAAAGGGACCGGGACCGGGTTTGAGGGATATCATTGCCTTTTTGCGCAAGGGATACCCATTGCCTTTTGGGAGGGAAGACCTGAGCAAGCATAGCCAAGCATAGCCTTATGTGTTGGTAGGAGTGTGTTCTCGAAGGCTTTCGATATCTCCGAAATCTCACCGGTGCAAAGCAGGGACACCAGTCCGGAGGACTCATAGACCTCTAAGAGAGCTGCTAATATACATACCCTAGGCATCCCTAGGCTTCCAACAACCATTGTTTTAATGGTCTTTACCGAACCACCATTGTTTTACTAAGGATTTGGAAGCCTATATATAGGGCATCATATACTATATATAAAATTGTATATCATTATATGGTTGGTCCCCGGTCCCCCAAACAAACAATCGATGCGGCCACTCAAACATACCAACACTACAACCATCTAAAGTAAGCCAAATTCCCGACATCCCACCGGCTTTGTCAGCAACGGATTCGCCAGCGATGTGCGTCGCAGGGACATGATGAGCCGCTTCCTGACCTGTGTGAACCCCGTAGGTGCGGGTCGCGCATGGCGAGGACGTGGAGGGGATCGTGAACACTTCCCAGAGAGATTCATGGTGCAAACGGTTGGGGCCTTTCTGCTAACGGTAACTGGGATGTTGGAAGATTGCAGTCATTGTAGGACACTGCCAGGGTAGCGGAAGAAGGACTTGTTGTACTTCTTCTTGGGTGTCACACGCCAGCGTCACCAGCCACAGTGGTCAGTCTCACTAGTTCTTTAGTCCTTTAACACATTGGGCGTTTGTTTGTGTGTGTGTGTGTGTCAACCCCTGTTTCTAAGGGACGGCAAATGTTTAAACAGCAGGGGGATCACCCATGGACTTGATTGGTGATCCAACGAAGAGGATGGCCTGATCAGCCAGATGTCCCTGCTGGTTTGACCTTCAATTCCTCATGAAGCCCTGCTTTTAAGAACAACAATTTACAGTGCTGGCTGTTGCATGGGTTCCTCAGTTGGTTAAACAATATAGTTCTCGCACTCTCCGCCATGCTGGTCAACAGTCAAGGTCTATTGCAGTAACTGTGACAAGGCTAATGCATGACAAGATGAATATCGTATTGTGCTCTTCGGAGTCTTCTTCCAAGTGTGCTTTTTTTTCTCTTCAAAACGGTGCCCCTTGGCATAATATGGATGTGCGAGGAAGGTCCCCTGGCTTTCAGCTTGAAACATCCACTAAGAACCAAACAAAGAAAGTCCAATATGTTCTCCGCAATTTTGGAAGTCAACTGTATAAGGGCTTGGCTTAGGGAAGATCCGAACGTTTTTGTCCTTAAATGATCCCAACTCAAATTTATATTTTGAACTTTGGCAGCGCCGGATCACTTAGAAAACTGCCAGGTCATCCTCCCAGCATCAACGCGAGCGACGCGATTCAGCAAATGAAGAATTCGACCGCCACGGGCTTGCTCGAAGCATATCACGAAGCTTGGACTCTTTCGCGGCGAAACTCGGGATCCGTTTTCAACAGGGTTCCAGAGGGTGGAAAGGAGCAAAACGATTGAGGGGGTCCAGGATGTTTAAGTTTGACTTGAGGCCGCCAAGTCTGAGGATTTAGCCGTAACCCGTACTGTAAAGTGCCTTGTTTCTCAACCCCCCGATCAATGGATGTTGAGCACCCAGGAATTCACGATGCTAGGGCCGCTAGGGCTTATCAATCAACATTCAACATGATCTGAGTGTTAAGCCAAATGTTGCCCCAATCACTGGATGATCCCAAAACTATTTCCCAAACTAGGTGAACTTGAGAGTCAACCCATCACCAGGGGCTGCCAGACCCTCCCAGGAGAGCATTTGTTTGTATGCGGTGGAGCCGCTCGGGTTGCAGCTCTGACCGGTGTCGACTTCGCAGCTGACCGTGGCCGTGTCGTGGATGGGTCGGAAACCAGGTCCTGCTCGGCTGCGCGTTGTTTGGTTCTTGGAACACCGGAAAACTCCAAACCGAGACGCACCAAAAGCCGCGTGGGTGAAAAACGCCTCAGCTTCGGAAACCGTCGGATTCAGCTCCTTCCCAGGTTGACGGGCTCCTTGCCAAGCCATTGCAACTGTGAAGATGCAGCTGCATGGAGCTCGTCTCCTGGAAACCAAGACGACGGTCGGAAAGTGCCCTCGGTCTCCCTCGGTCTCGTCTCCTTCCATCTTCCTGATCGTAGCGAGCGCGTTTTTCTTTCATTTGGCGCATGTCGTCTCATGTCTTGTGTGTGTGCATCGTGTTTCTTTTTTACACCCTTGCTGTGGCGACGAAGACGCATGTGACGGTGAGGTTCAATGAAACTCATATTACGCACGATCACACCTACAACGACACCATCGAAGACTACAACCAGGCCGTTCTCGAGGATGTGGATGCCATAAGTAGCCACTTGACAGTCCACCATGAAGTGATGAACGCGCGAAGAATGCCACGATGCCATTGCATAACCAACCTGACCTTTTGAATAAAGACTATACCGCATTGTGTGGATCATTTGGAACATGTTCAGCAACACGGTGAGATGAGTGGATTCTCCATGTGAGCGTCGTTCAAAAACCCACCTCTTCCTTGTTAGTGATCGAATTTCAAATGCTGATTTCGAGTGTGCTCTCACTGCAGTCGCGAAAGGTTCGCGAAGGTCCTGCGAAAGGTCTGCGCAAGTCATGTTGGTGACCTGGCCACGCTGCAAGAACAATTGCTCTTCAGACTTCCGATTGCTTTTTCCCGGGTTGGGAAAAAGCAAATTGGAAATCTGAAGCAAACTGGAAGTCTGAGCCTTTTGCTTTTTCCAGGCCTGGGAAAAAACAAATTGGAAGTCTGAACCATTTTGCTTTTTCCCGGCCCTGGAAAAAGCAAATTGGAAGTCTGAGCAAACTGGCCTGACTGAGCCGTCTCTTGTTCATGGAGGGTTGGGCAATCAAAATGGCTTGGTTGGAAGTCTTGACCATTTTGCTTTTTCCCGGCCCGGGAAAAAGCAAATTGAAAGTCTAGATCATTTTGCTTTTTCCCGGCCCGGGAAAAAGCAAATTGGAAGTCTGAGCAAACTGGCCTGACTGAGCCATCTCTTGTTCATGGAGGGTTGCGCCCAACCAAAAACACACCAGCATGAAAATGGCTTGGTTGGAAGTCTTGACCATTTTGCTTTTTTCCCAGCCCGGGAAAAAGCAAATTGAAAGTCTAGACCACTTTGCTTTTTTCCCGGCCCGGGAAAAAGCAAATTGGAAGTCTGAGCAAACTGGCCTGGCTGAGCCGTCTCTTTGTTCATGGAGGGTTGGGCGCAACCAAAGCCGGAAGTCTTGATCATTTTGCTTTTTCCCAGCCCGGAAAATAACAAATTGAAAGTGTAGGCCGGGAAAAAGCAAACTCAAAGTCTGAGTCGAATTGGGAAAAATCGGTTTATATCAGGGTTACAAAGGAAAATTAAGGAGCTGTGGCCTAATGGATAAGGCGCCAGGCTGATAAGCAGAAGGTTGCGGGCTCAAATCCTACAGGTGCTGCTTGTTTCCAGGCCGGATTCCAAACTGCAACCCTGATACATTTTGAACCATTTTGCTTTTTCCCGGCTTGGAAAAAAGCAAATTCGAAGTCTGAGCCATTTTGCTTTTTCCCGGGCCGGGAAAAAGCAAATTGGAAGTCTGGCCGTTTTGCTTTTTCCCGGCCCGGGAAAAAGCAAATTGGAAGTCTGAACCATTTTGCTTTTTCCCGGCCCGGGAAAAAGCAAATTGGAAGTGAGCCTTTTGCTTTTTCCCGGCCCGGGAAAAAGCAAATTGGAAGTCTGAGCTTTTTGCTTTTTCCAGGCCCGGGAAAAAGCAAATTGGAAGTCTGAACCATTTTGCTTTTTGCCGGCCCGGGAAAAAGCAAATTGGAAGTCTGATACATTTCCAATTGCTTTTTCCCGACCCTTGGAAAATTCTTTGTCGTGGGAAACTGCGCAAGTATGGCGAAAGGTTCGCATTGTGGACGCGAAAGACGACAGGGCCAAACCCCACCCCACTCCACTCTTCTTGCTGGAAGCACGCGCTGGACACTCCAGCTGCAGATGCACTCATAGCATGCCCACAAGTGCAGGTATGTGAGGTGAGGTGGTTGGTTCTACGGCTGTAAGTGCGCATACAACACGGTCGGTGACTCCAGCGTGCGGTTCTAAGGATGTAACATGAGCGTGCGCTCGACACACACACACAGGGTTTGTTGTTTGTTGTTTCTGATCTGTTTGGTCCTTGGAAGGACCGCAGGCATCGCTACTAGTGACAAGGACGCTACTAGGGGCTCCTGGCATCGCTACTAGTGACAAGGACGCTACTAGGGCGCGGGGGTGCGGGGGAGATTGTGGTTCATTTTGGTGCATTCCCGAGAGAGCAGAGAGCAGAGATAGAGAGAGAGAGAGAGAGAGAGAGAGAGCGAGAGCGAGAGGCAGAGACGGAAATGACCATCTGCAGCTCTCTGTGTCAAGTCATGCCGCTGCTTGAGCCATTTTGCTTTTTCCCGGCCGGCCGGGAAAAAGCAAATTGGAAGTCTGAGCCTTTTGCTTTTTCCCGGGCCTGCCCGGGAAAAAGCAAATTGAAAGTTTGAGCCGGAAAAGCAAATTGGACATCCAGTTTTCTTTTGTAAAGCCTGGAAAAAAAGCATGGTTTTCAGAGAGCTGTAGCCTAATGGATACGGTGGCGGGCCCATAAGCAGAAGGTTATGGGCTCGAGTCCCACAGGCGCTGTTTGTTTCCAGGCAGTCTGAACCATTTTGCTTTTGCCCGGGCCGGGAAAAAGCAAATTGGAAGTCTGGCCGTTTTGCTTTTTCCCGGCCCGGGAAAAAGCAAATTGGAAGTCTGAACCATTTTGCTTTTTCCCGGGTTGGGAAAAAACAAATTCGAAGTCTGAACCATTTTGCTTTTTCCTGGCCCCGGAAAAAGCAAATTCGAAGTCTGAACCATTTTGCTTTTTCCCGGCCCGGGAAAAAGCAAATTGGAAGTCTGAGCAAACTGGCCTGACTGAGCCGTCTCTTGTTCATGGAGGGTTGTGCCCAACCAAAAACACACCAACATGAAAACTGCTTGGTTGGCTGGCTTCCTGTTCCTCAGCAATCAATGTGTCAGTGATCAGAGGACACAAGACGTGCCAGGGCAACTGCATGAATCCTTGAAAGCCTCTAGCCCCAACGAAAAACCATTTTCGCCGACAGTGGTAAAACCCCACGCGCGAAAGCTTGCGAAAGCTTCGCGAAGGTCCTGCGAAAGGCCTGGAAAAAATGAAAGGACTTTTGAACAACCCCCATGTGTTGATTCTTGAGGATTGTTGCCCTATACATCGTATGTTTTGCCTATATATATAAGCTATTATAAGCTATAAGACTGTAGGATCATGTAGCCCCGACCATCCGGGCACCATCCAGGCATTGACGGAGGGTGCGTTCCCCAGAGAGCTAGGCCATGGCGTGTGTTGCACGTTTTCACTCACAACCAATACAGATCACCAGTAGCTGGACCAAAGAACTAGGGGTTTGGACAGCATCACACTTATTGAAAGGTTGGGGCAAGGCTTTCCCTTCCTTTCTGAAACTATGTTGACCAACCGAGTACGACTCAATGGCACAATTCTTGTGTTTTTATAGACGGCCATATCAAAAAGAGGCCCTAGGAGTTTGGGGGTTGCTCCTCTCGATGTCCTTCCTCCCCCCCAAAAAGGAGGTGCCTTGAGGTCCCTCACTGTGGCGCCCGGTGTCGCGCGCCCGGACGAGTCGCGACGGTGGCCACGCCGTCGGATGTTTTCTCGAGGTGCTGACCGGCAGCTCTATCGGGCAGGTGTGCAGCTCTTTATCCATGAGATGGAGAAGTTGGAAAGCACCTTCCAAGTGAAGGTCCTATGTGATGAACAGCGTGAGATGCTCTTGGAAGGTATTTTGTCGTGATGCCACCTTTGACGTGAGATGCTGCGTGAGCGACGCACTGGCCAGCACTGGCAGTCAGATGTCCGGTAACACAGACTCTTGATGACTAAAATTGAAATCCCCCAGACATGGATTGCCGGACTTCTTCATATACATTAGTCGGATACTTCAATTGGTTGTTCGACAATTTGTCGACAGCGCCACTTCAGCAGCAACATTGCGTGCTCTTGAGTGGCAAAAGTTGTCCAGAGTTTCATCGCGGGCGCCGTAGCGTGCGCTGAAGCACGAGGGTCGTCTAGAGATGAAAGAGAACGCATGACATGATGGGACCAACGAAACATCAGCCAAAACTAACTGCTGAATTATGTGGGTGCATTTGCCCATGGGTGCCGATTTGCTTGGGGATGAGAGGAGATGGCGACTAATTGCTATATATACTAGTTGACTGTTGACTCACGTCATGTGAAAAAATACGTTCAACCGGCTTTGGCCGACCTTTACATGATTGGTTCAAGTTCTGACTCACGTTCCATTGAAGTGGATTCAACCACCTGTTTTGTAGAGGAAAATCGTCCAAGGGACCCAAGGGACCACGCCACCTGCTAGGGCTGGGCGTTTCACAAGCACTCGGCCACAATCTGTGGCAGTCGCCACAAATTGGGCCTTTAAGATCACCCTGTGTTGCTTAACGGTACTTAGAAGATCTTACTGGTAGAAGATCAATTGATCAACAAATCATTGCCCAATTCATTTCTAGAGAGTTCACTCAGTTTATCCCCGCAGTGAAGCGGTGCTCCTCGCCTTCCCTCCAGTTCCGTTCCAGAGTTCTTGTCGATGGATGATCGTGAAGTTGCTGTGGCCAGAGGTGCTGGCCTAGTAACTGACATAGCTTCTCCCCACGGAAAAGTGGATGACCTTGAAGTTTTTTGCTGATTAGGGATACCACTAAGCAAGAACCTATTTTTTCCGGCAAAACTGAGGGAGTCATACCAGGTCCCGAAACGAAGGTACGTCAGCGCCGAAACCGGGTTTGGAAGGAATGGAGCCACTCCCGACGTCGCGAGAGACCTCTCGCGAGACGGTGGGCATCGGTGGGCACTCAAGTGGCAGTTACACTCAATACGTGCACGTTCCATGGAAAGTGACGTGGTCCCTTGGAAGACTACGTATACTTTCCTTTACAAACAGTCTTGTTTCCATGAGTTTCCCACGTAACCATGGAACGGTTTCGTCAGAGTGTAGATGCCAGAAACATCAAGAAACTATGAAAGTGATGACGGGCGCGGCTACCAGAGATCCATCCAGCCACTCGTCGACCTCAGGTGAGAATGACAAGAAGACTCAGGCGGTCACGCGTTCCCCCCATGAGAGTTCGTGATTTGGTGGGCGTATGGTGTTTTTTGGTTGACAGTCCTATCAAGACCGGTGTGAAAAAACAACAAAAGACCCCAAAGAACCTGCAGCTGCAGGGTGTTGCTTCATGTTGTTTCTTTTGTGGTCGTGTTTCTATTGGCCGTGTTCAATCACTGACGCAAACACTGACACCACGTTCGCTGCCTGCTGTGAAGGCGCAGGATGTGGGTGGAGTGGACGAATTAGTCGCCTGGTTTGCAGGAAGATGGACATTGAAGGGAACCTTTCTAGCAGCTGTTAAAGGGGAATGAAATCCCATTCTGCGCAGGAGTTGGGGATAGTTGGGGTGCTATCAGCTTGTCCGTTCTGCACATTTGGTAGTCGTCAGTATATAATAGTATACATGCATTTCCTGGAGTTGGTGGATCAAAAGGGAAGGGTGCCACATTGTGTCACTTAATTGGTGGTGTCCGGATCCTGCTGCTGCACTTTTTGTTTGGCTTTTTGAGAACCGTCAATCCACACCGCATGTCCATCCATGCCGATACAACCGCTTCACTCGCAGCTTTGGTTTCCCTGAGGTGGATTATGTGCTGAAGAAGACCAGCAATAAGTCGAAGATCGAAAAGTGAGCGGAGCTCAATGGGTCCGGTGGAGTCTTTCGCGAGGGTGGAGGGCGCGGTCTTTAAACCTCGATGGAATCCGCTATAAAACCGAACGGCCTTCAAGGTCGTTGTCTCGTCTCAGGAACCCAGGCCAATTCCTTTGCCGTCGATGAAATAAGATTGGAAAAACAGGAGATGCCAACCTGTACTAATCATATCTCACAAGAATACAGAATACATATGTTTTGCGTTTTTTAATTGACAGATGACAGATTGTCAAAAAATATTGTTTTCAGGAGCAGTGCCATTGTGTTCTGGGGGGTTCCATCTCCTTCCCGCGATCCTGGCCGGATTGCAGGTACTTCAATGGCCTTTTTGGCAAGATCGGTGAGAAGGCGTGACGTCGAAGGTTTCACGGTTCCACATGGTTCCACATATGGTCGATAAAGTACATATGATTTCCATAGATGATCATAGTCTAAGTTTAATATCCCCGTTGCTATTTCCTTAAGAATCAGAGAGCCCAAGCTTTTTTGTTATATATATTTATATTAACAGAATCTTCGAACAATTTCATTCATATCACCCAAAATTCTATAGCGCGACTTGCGAATCTGTCCAAGCCACAGCCCATATTAAACAGTGGAAACCCAAAATTCTATAAAATCTGGACCCTAAAGGTAGGGCCGTCATTTTACAGAGGGTCATCGTGGGTATGAAGCTTGGTGCCTCCAAGTTATGTAGCTGAAATGCTGATAGTTGAACACCGATTTTACAGAAGATCTGTGTTCTCATAGGTGAAACCGTGATTCTATAACGCAGCAAACATCCGAAACACTGACAGTTGAGTGTAAAGTCAAAAGCACAACCTTACCCTATTTCTGCCTTTTTTTCACACTCGAGAACCCTCCTTGATTTTACAGTGGCTCACGTCATCTCACGTCACGCGCGTTTGTTTCGGATGCAGCCAAAAGCAATGGCACAAGAGATAGTCAGGCGCTCCGTTTTACAGAGTGCCTACATTGATGCGGCTAGTTGCTGATTTTATAGAGTTGCAGCTTTTCAATAGAGCTCGAAAAAGACCGTGCTATATCTGTAAAATGAATTACGGGCCCGACCATCACCCGTAATTCACCACCGGAGGGGCCCGGTGAATCTATTGCTTCCACCCATGCAAATCCATGAAATTAAACAATGGAAACTAAACAAAACATGGTGTAGACTTAAACCCTGTGTAGTTGATGAAACCATGGAGATGGTGGTTTCTTCGTCCCACGAAACCGGTGTTTTCGTCCTTCAGGAAGCGATTCAGTGGGTTAGGGCGAACAGCGGGCCCGGACGTATGCGGAAGGAACAGAACGGGTGAACGGGGCAGTCCGTGGTTTAACAGAAAAAGTGATGGACTGAACAGCAAGTCATGGCAAGTCTATGGATGCAGTTTCATTTCAGTTATAGTTTGTTGTTGTTTTTTCCAAATGGAATCAACATACTTACGAAATACATCTAAATACAGACACCATAATTGGTGAGCAAACACCTCTGTTGCTTCCAGCTGACTCACCGTCTTCCCCGAAATCCGGTGCTTCTGTATACGTCACGCAGGTCCGTGCCGTGAGGCGTGCGATGACACAAGAGGAGCTGACTGAGGTGGGTGACAGGGCGATCCTGCGCCCAAACGGTCGAGGAATACGTCCATTCCATTGTTCACCCATTTTTCACCCATTCCTCACGTTCTTAAGAGAACGTCCATTGTTCACCCATGTTCCATGAGTCTATATTAAATATATTTTTGTTTAATACCTATAGAACCTGTTCTTGGGCAGACATTTCTGCCCATTTTGGGTAAAGGCACCTTTGTCCGTGCTTAGGCGTTCTTGCCCCCTGTAGGCGCTCTTGGCTCCGCTAGGCGTTCTTATCCTTTTGGTGGCAATTGCAATGCTCAAATAGATAAGGATCTACCCACCACTGGCTCCAGGAACAATAGAGATACAGGACACTTGTTTATCACTTGATGTTTCACTTCTGCATGTGTTTAGCGTTTCTATATGCTTTGTGTCATTGCTTTAGTATGTTTTTGGGTAGGCATTTGTTCCCATCACTTAGGCGTTCTTACCCGTTACTTAGGCGTTCCTATCCGATCCGTTCCCCCCTCACAACAATCAGCAGTGGGGTGGACAAAGGAATGGTAGCCTTTTGGGGGGGAGCAAGTGACATGAGTTTCAAAAACTTTACTTTAGACCGGGCACTAGCGTCAGGTTGCCTTCTCAAAAACATTTAAAAAAAACATGTTCATGATGGTTTTGCCTCCTGCATGTAAGAATGCATGTGATTGTGCCTCGGCGTTTTTTGACCCTCGAGGCTGCAGCTTAGGCGTTCTGTGTGAAATTGGGCAGAATGTTCTGCCTAATTATAAGTGAAGTTGGGCTGAATTGTTTGCCTAAAGAGGTTCTAGGTCTAGGTAATGACATGTCTTCATGGTTCAAGTTTTGGTGTTGGACATCCGTGAAAGTAGCGTAAGCAAGCCCACTTGCTGATGATAAAATGGATAGGACTATAGGACAAACAAATTGACGATTAATACGATGAAACTGAAAAGGAAGTCTCGTTGTTGACGTTGCCAAGTGGTTGTCAATTGTTTGGACGTTGCCTTTGACGCCGTTGCAGTTCATAAGACTTTTTTTGGGGAGGCATTGTCGGCTAGGATCATGAAAAGGGGCCACAGGCTCACAGTTACGTACGCGGTGATTACGCAGGTCTCAATGCTTTTATGCGCGCCTTGCTTGGAAAGCAGATTGCGCAGGATTAAACTGTAGCCGTATGCCGTGGTTTGTTGTAAAGTTTTTTTTTTCCGTAGATTTTGCGTAATTGTTTTTCACCCTTGTGCTTTTGTAACCCGCGCACAAGTTTTGGCACAGAAAACATCATACGAGATATAGGCAGATGCAATGTGTTTGTTTAGCACAGTTAATTTAGCCTAGGCGTCTAAGCCATTCCTTAGTCTTCTCCCAACTGATGGTTTAGCCAGCACCGGCAAGATTCCTACGTGGTGGTTTGCGGTGTGTTGGACTTGGGTGTTCATGGTCTGGATTTCAGCGAGTCCTGTCTTTGGGGGAAAGCCTGGATACCTGGGATTTGCTGAGCATGTTGGCTTCCAAAAAATGGTGTTGGTCCATGATGATGGTGCCATGTTGGTGCACATGTTGGTGCTATGTGTTGACAGAAAAGTGTCAGAAAGTTGTGCGCTTCCTGTTGGACACAATACTTCCTCACTCACCTTGCACTTGACTGAGAGGATATTGTATTGACATGTATACTATATAACGTAATAGAATGATGTATACTATATATTGACATGTATACTATTGACATGTATACTATATATTGTATTGACATGTATACATAGAATGATCAATCCTTTAAGCATCGTCCGAGCAGAGGCTTGGCTTCGTTGCTCCCAGCCGGAGTGCGGCACCCAGGTCCGCGGAGCGGGGCGCAGGCTTTCGAGTGGAGCGGAAGCTCCGAGCCTTGGGAATTATCGTTCGCTGTCAAGACATGCTTGGGAGGGGTACCGGATTGGGTGTTGGAAGGTGCTGGAAGGGTGTGTAAGTTGAACCTCCCCCCGCCAGATTTTTCGGAGCCTGGAACACAGACCACTGAAAGCCCTAGAGCCTAGAGTGCGAGAGTAAGACGTGGTGTCGGGGGGGCCGGTTTGAAACACCCCACATTGCAGGCTTCAAAGGCTCCACGTGTTGGGTTCCGGGCCTTGTCAGGCCCGTTTTCCCTGGGGCCAATGAGACTTCGGTTGTGGACGATGCTCCTGGTTGCTCGAAAAACGCTTCCAAAGAGACAAGGCAGGTGATGAAAGGCAAGGCACAAGGTGATGACATAGCAGCGACATGATGCTCCCTAATTCATGTGATTTGACATCAAAAATAACTATCGATACTATACCATTCATATATATACAACTCATGTTCAGGTGTTTCAGATTGCGTGCGATTTGACGAATGACTCCGCAAGGTCGAAGAAGCCCAGGCCTGACTCAGGGTTTTGGGTACGCATGTGATGGTTTTGGGGTATGCTGAAAGGATGTCAGTCCTTCAGATGGTACGCCTGGTCATCTCGGGCACGCCAGGTGGAAGTATAAGATGGTACTTGGTCCTTCATCACACAACGGCGCACTGTTTTTTTTGGTTGCTTTGGGGTCCACTATCACAGTGCTCATGTGCTTCGATGGGTCTCCCAGTGCCCAAAGAGAAGAGAAGCACTTCTTTCCCCTTGGCATTTCGGAGACCAGTGACCACGGCTTTTCTGCTTCGGACTGGACATCAGCTGGTGGGTCGTCGCTTGAATTCCTGGGTCACTGGTGACGGCTTTTGGGCGAATCGCAAGCGCTGGTTTGAGCTGTTCATGTCCGGCTCCATGGGACAGATTCATCTACAATCTATATTCATAGGGGTGATTGAAAAAGGGTTAACGGGTTCCGTGGGTCAATAGGGGTTTATAGGGGTGATTGAAAAGTCAAGAATTCCATCAGATTCCAGTTCCATGGGTCCTGGGGTCGTTCTTTTTTCTTTTCATCGGAGGGGCCCCAGAGTGGAGGGTCGGATGGTCTCTCGATTCGTTCGAAATCACAGAGACGTTCGGTATCCTTTCAGGTCAACGAGAGAACAGCCATGGCGTGACTCTTCGGTGCATTTTCCCTCTGGCGTCCGACACCTCGACACCGTGTGGAAACGCACGTTTGCCCACGTGAGGCTCAAGATTGAGAGAAATGCTCATGAAAAAAAAACACCTCCAATTGATTCATGACAGCCAGTGCTGAGTAATTAGGTAAAATAATCTCAGAACAGGATGTAACTACTACTAACTTGGCTATATGATTTTTCAGTTCCTACTTGCTGGCAATAGAAGGAACAAACATTGGCCCCAAAGTAGATGAAGCAGCTTCCGAACAGTGTGGGATTTCGGGAATTTCCATTCAAAGTAAAACATCGGTCGAATGAGCAAGTTAGCTTCGGTATTTGCAGTTTCTTGGGTGTTGTCTCGTTGTGGATTTCTTTAATCCTTAAGACTTCACCAACTATTCCCTGGGACTACTCCCACATACTCAACAATCCTCCTTACATCCGGTAGATATCATTTGTATTTTGACCATAGAGCTGCAACCTGTGGGACTCCACCCACCACGGGACCGCCCAGTTGCCGAAGAAAGCGTAGCTTAGCGGACGATGGCCATGGAAGAGAAGCCGCCGCTTGACGGTTTAAGTGGAATTGATCAAGACTGTGGGACCTAAAAACCCGAACTTACAGGTTGACCCACAGGACACTTCAAGATAAAGCGCGACACACTGAAGATTGAAGATGCCAGTTTAGGATCTCAGGAGAAAACAATATGATTATGATATATTAATAGGAAAAAACTAAGTGCAGAAGCACCATCACACCTGCTATATGGGAAGCTTAACCCACCACTGAAGATCTGGGCCGTTTTTGTCGAGGGACAAAAGCAGATGTTTGAATGGATTCTTCCGGAAACAATATCTATACTTGATCAAAGATTGAACTCCGCATGATTTACAATGTCCTTAGCAGTTTGCCGTATGATTTTCCCATAGGTTTAGCTTCTCCATGTTGCATCAAATCCTCGGTGTTGGCACGTTGTGCCAATAATTTGATATTGGTTACCTTGAACTGCATGTATGTATGAAGCATGTTGATCAGCCTCGCTGCTTGGGCCACGAGGAACCCCAAAAGCCGATGTACCAAAATGCTGACAGAACGGGAATCATGGTGTTGGGGGACTCGAATCTGGGGCTCTCAGTCATTTTCTTTGCCCTGCGTGTGTGTTCTCCTCTTGTGACACCCAAGTAGATACATAAGCCTTGCAGGGCTGTCTGAGTTTACACTTCAGGGTGAACAAAGACGGAAAGGACCGTGGAGCCTACCTGCAGAAGAAGCATCTTCAGACGGTCACCCCGGGTACATGCCCCAAAACTCAGAAGGATCACAGATGATCTGTGCGAGAGTGTGGCATGCAATGTACTTCCCCTTGATGTCACCACTTGACCAGAACATGTTGTTTGACTTGCGACATTACCTAGAGAATCTTGCAGCGTGCAGGGTGATCCTGAGTGGCATCGAAACTTCGATGCCAAAGGAGTCTAGTTATGGATGTGTGGATGTTGACCCATAGATGGCTGGAAAGGTTGGTGGGGTCCCTTGTTCAATGCTACCGCAACAGACAAGGTTCCTGTTTGGTGAGCCAGGAAGTGTTGCGCCTACAAGTGGTAATCCTGTCCACCTATTAAAAAAACACGTGCCCCCCCCCAATAAGGAAACCTTGGTCGTGCTTTTTTTAAAGAGAGGGTCCCTGAAATCGGGGTGGTCCAAAATAGGGTCACTTGGGAAGGGCTTCAAAACCAAAAACTCACCCAGGAAATGTTTATATAAAATCCTTTATTAATTTTGTATCATTTTTGTTTAAAGAAAAACCTCCAGATCGAAGGGACTTTTCCTTTTTCCCTACAACAACCTTTAATAGAACAGTGATTCTTCATTCGACTAACAACTAAAGCTTTCGAAAGGTGATGTCGCTGTGCCATGCGGTTTTGCGTGACCTCGGTGGAAAGTGCGTTTGCGTGAGTCCGTGCGATTGGGGGAAGGAAAGCCTGCTGGCGTAAACACTGCCTGTGATGGTGGATAGACAGGGTGGACAGAGCTGGGCATTTGGAGTTGTTTTTGGAACCAACTTTTAAAAGTCCTCCAAAAGCGGCCATGCTGGTAGTTTAGTAGCTGCTTTAAAGGGCGGTAACTAAAGAACGAATATAAGCCGTATTTAGGGGGCTCCGATGTGACTTTTTTGTTGGGGTCCGTTCTTCAATAGGTATACGGTATACTCGGGGTTATTCCTAAGGAAGCACATTACACCACACATATAAGTCGTATAAACACAACTCAACATCTGAAGCCTTCAATCGCAGAACGACGCAGAACCAGAACCGAGTATTTTCTGATATTTTCTTTAGTTCTGATTTTTGGTTTTGTGTGTTCCAAGTTCGCCAACCTCCCAGGCCGCCACGGTGTGGCCGCAACTCGTGCGAGTGTGAGGAGTTGAGCCACTTGGACGCCGATCCGATCGGAGCCAAATCCGACGAACGCATTTTAGACTTTGCCCAGTCAGGTGGCCCTCCACGGCCACCTGAAACATGCTGAAACAACTGGGCGCTTGGAACTCTTCTGGAACTATGTGGATGTTGTGCGATGTTGTATCGTTATTACATGTTATTACATGATTCTGCAAGACGGAACTGGATTGACACTTATAACTTATTTATATGCAACATAATCCAAATGTTGGTGTCCATCCACATATTTTTTTACTGTACATGGATAAACATCACATGTAATAGATGGACAAGACTAATGGAACATATAGTATATATAAATTATACGATCATATGTTGCGGCCCGAATTGTGGCATATCTTTTGGTCACCTACTGTGAAATGAATGGTTCATCTTGAATTTGCAATTCTGTTTTTTGGGGTCATGGCCCCACTCTGTTCTCCATTTTGTATCTTCATGTGCTCTGCCAGAAATCGATTGAATATAGGACTTTGGCTGTGTTTTTTCTCTAGTTACCACCTCAGGAGCCAAGCTCAAGCGTGCGGTGATCGTCATTGAAGCCTTGAAGCCACTGGGATTTGGTTGACCAGGAGAGGCAAGAGGTATACCTGGATCTTCGACTTGTCCAATGGGCGTTTTGATCTTGAGCACATCTTTGTAACCCTTGACTTGAAACGGCTTTGTTGTTTGATTGCGGCGTATTTTCACTGAACAATGCTCCGGCAAAAGGCCTTTTGAAGATCCAGGTATGCATCGGTCCTGTTCGTTGCCGGCCTGTTCCTGTTCGTGGCGAACTTGAAGTTGGAACCTGTGAGTCACATGTGGGCGGATCCATGAGGATCCCATCAATACAGTCTGATGTCTTTACAATGAGTGCAACTTTTTGGGACACCAGGCCATCGCAAGAGGCCTTGTTGATGGTCCACAAACACAACTGGACAAAGTGGCAGTTGCTGGGAAAGGAGGGGCTAGCTGCAGACCAAGCTCAAGAGCCTGGCAAGATTCCAGACCACATCCTCGAATCATTGGAGCCCATCATTGCTGGCCTACATGTCTACTGTTTTGTTTTGAATAGCCGGCTCGCTCCCCCCACTCCCTACATAATCAGGTAGGCACCTACTTAATGAAGTAAGGGAGACGTAGCTATAGTAGCTTAATTAGCTAGTACTTAGGACGCAGGATAGCTCACGCTCGCACTAATGATTTGTTTCCTAGATTTTTAGGGACACTTCGTCCACACTTTGCCGATCCATAGGATGCAACATTGCACATCCATCGCACACCCTGCTCACCTGACCCGCAGCTTTACGTGGCCCAAAAGCCGTGGCTCGCACCGCGAAAGACGCGGCGACCGCCGAGTCGACGCGGCGAACGCCGAGTCGTGGCGGCGGGTGGCTTCGTGGCTAAGCGGGTCACGTCGCGGGTGGCTCCCGCTCTGCAGTTTTTTCCGAACGGTGCAAGAGGGGGAAGGAGCGGGAAGTCATGCTTCGGCATCAGGAAGGGGAGACACTGTTAGACTCTTTTAGACATTTTTAGAACTATTGAATAAAGAAAAAGCACACACATGGTTCTGTATACGGATTAATGTCGACTCTTGGTTAACCTGAATCATCAATGAGTCGCTATATGAGACACAGTTTTGGGACACCTACAGAAAATCATGTGTTGTAAATCTCGGAGAATGCTGAGAACCGTGAAGAAGCATGACATCGCATGACCGGAGGACTTCTGAACCTTGACCGACCTGGGGAAGACACTGGTCGGACCGTAGAAAACACGATCAAGACCATGCGATGAACCTCCTACAGACCCCCCCTTCAGAACTCTGAAAATGGCTCAAATCCCACCAACAAGTTCTTTGGCAAACTATGTTTCACCACCTGGCGAATCATTTCACAGATGGCCCAGCATCACCATGACATGGTTTTCATCTCCAGATCGCCAATTTGGCGTCTCATGGACCATGCCAACCAACCGCCGTCTTGGGACCTCCAAAACCGTCCTCCAAAACCGGGACCTCCAACTTCTGACAAGATGGTTGGGGTGGGTTTGTGGGGTCTTACCATGTCTTACCACCTGAGGATATGCTTGGAGCCGGGTCACATCGCGGCAGGAGATGTCCGTGGGCCTTGTGCACAGCTTTGGTTCCGTGGACACCGCCTTGGACGACGGCCTCGAGGGCACCAAGTCGCAGGAGCCGGAAGGGCAGTGACCCATGTCACCATGACAAAATGCAACGTGTGAATCGCCAGTGTTGGTCGGGGTTCCGCCTTGGACCATTGTGACTCACATGTATTTACGACCTGTGAATTCTCACCCATGGTGTAAAAAGTCGGGGGGATACCTCCAAGTGTACAAGTTAACAGGTACAGATATGACATCAGAGCTATGACATCAGATCATCATGGTTCTCACATGTTCTCACCATCAATACGAGCTGGCAAAGTTCCGTCCATTTCGCGTCGCTTCGCCTCGATGGGGACAAGCCCAGACCATCCATGGGACTGGACTAGTAAGGGCCATCAATGGGGGTAAATGTATACAGCTATTCCATACCATTTGTTAGGAAGGTCTATTTTGCTGTCGTATCTCTACTTTTCACAGGCAAGGATGGAGAAGTTGGAGCAAAGCTTTTGTACGAATTGCCAGGATATGACTGCAATCGACGATGATGGATCAATAGTATCAGATGGAACAGGATACGTAGAATTCAATTATAGAATGGAATGGCAGCCATCGACCTTCCTTATGACAGCATCGGATCCATTCAATTCTCAGACCTGAATGTTTTTTGTTAATCCAAGCGGCGGGCTACATGAGGGTTGGCTAAACTTCCATGTTGATGACAACCAGAGGGAATTGGCAAGCTTGAAAAGAACATGGGTTTGATGATCAGTGAATTAGATGGGTTTGATGAGCCCCGAAATCCATGCACCTTGGGGAACAGTTACTTCGATCAGTTCCACGGCGGGCCAAAACGCCACACGGCGAGCTGTGCATTTGCTCGGCGCGAGCAGGTGCACCTATGGTAAACCTCAGACCACCCGCCCCAATGGCACAGATGAAGCCAAATCGTTGTTCCCTGCTCTTTTGCATCTTTTTGCCAATGGCACCCCACTTGTGGCATCGCTTGTTCACCGACTGGGACTCTCTTGGAATGTTGGAACGCGAAGCGATGCACCAAGCGATGCGACGGAACAGATGCACCCCACTTGGACGGAACCCTGGATGCGATTCGACGCGAGGAAAGTGGCGGTGGGTTTACGCCGTCTGCTGGGCGGGAGAGGGTGCGGAAGAAGCGTGAGCAGCAGCCGCTGGGAACAGTTGGGCTTTGGACCAGTGGTGTGCGATCAGGGACCAGAGGCTTTAGCAGGTTTAGGATGTGTGTTTTCTTAAAGCCTGAGTTAGGCCGTAGAGGTAGTTGCTAGAGGTAGCTAGCAGAAGCTAGGGAGTCGCTAGTAGCTTGAGTAGCTACTATATTATGACGCAGGATAGATCACGCTTCCTTGAAGAAGCGCTCGCACTATTCATTTGGTTCCTAGATTTTGTGGGAAACTTAACTCCTTCCTCTTTGGGGTTTTGCCGTTGTGGGGCACCACATGTCTTTCAATGAAACATTCTACATAGCACCATCTCAACTGCGACGATTCATGCAATTTGTTGTGATTCACCAAGCCTACTGTTCCGCCGAAGGTTTCCAAACTGGTTCTGTATTTCCTCAGACTCACTAAAAGTCTGTATATTATAATTAGATAATATAATTCCAGGATTGCCACATTTTTGTGGAAAGGCATTTACAAACCATTTTCCACCACCAGGTGTGGAAGTGATGCGACCTATATGGGCTTATGCTCAATGTTTGTCCATCAACAGTATGACCCAATTCATATACTGTAACTTGCGCATCCCAGAGATGACTATTTGGTGATGTTTGTGCCAGCAGGTTGGAAACCAAACGTGTAGTGGTGCTTATTTTCACAATCAGACATCCGACTCATTGATGCTCTTTCCGACCCGGTGGCCATGGAGTGAAGGTCTTGTGGAGAACATTGCCATCGATTGCATATTCATATATATTCATGTTTTCACACCATGAAAGACGTTGAACTCTTTTTCACCAAGTTCCCCGAAATTGAATATAGGATTCGGAGGTGGCACTTCTTGCTCTCAAAGTGCAAAGACATGTTCGCACCGTGCGGCAGAGAGTTTTGGGACAAACTCTAGTCGAAGTGAGAGAAAGAAAGCGGGGACCTTTATATATTATATGGGAAAATGCAAATTTAGTCAAAATTCAACGAAACGAGACACAACATACGAAGAACAACTCTTGTTTGTCCCATTAAACTCAGTGATGCATCAGTACACTGTAGAAACAAAGTCAGGTTTCGTTCATTAATGTAAACTCAAGATTGTGCATGTTTACAGCATTTGCTGATCAGCATTTTGTGAAAGCGCATGCGACTATGAAACTTCTCAAGAGTGTCCACTGGCGGCCACTGAGCCATTCAACTATCCGATCTCATCTCCAGTCATGTGGCATGTTTCTCCCAAACATGAAGAATGTAGCATGCGTTGATACTTCCATCAGACGACAGCACCACCCCTGAAGGAACCTGCTTATAGCTGATCTCGTCTCAAGATGTTTCAAGACTCCTTAGCTCAATCCCCCAGGATCCACCATGATTCCTAAAACCCATCCATTTTTCTTCACGCCCGGTGGATGTTCTGGAACCCACGGACCCACGGACCCGGACCTCGGTGAGACGGTCGGACCTCCCAAGGCTCCAGGAGTTTTTGGCTCTGCACCACTTCCACGACCTCTCAGGGCCTCGGGAGCTCGAGTCCGAAAAGCCGCTCGGAGTGGCGAGGGCGAAGGTTCGGCTTCCGGTGTGGCGAAGTCGGCGTTCCACCCAGAGGGTTTGACACATGCTGCGGCTTCGGCCGGGTCCGACCAGCGTCCAACACGGCGGGGTCGCCATGGGGGTGACGAAGAGGATGGGCCCCTCGGCACGTGTTCGGTGGAACATGCCTGGCTGTGTTGCGGTGAAACACATTCAGATATACACAGCCACTGCCACGTGCCCCAGAGAAATGGCTGGCCCAAACTAAACAGTGATGTTCACTCAGCCCTGAGACAGAAGTTCCTGGAGTTTGGCGGGCATGGTCTTCGGTGGCAGGTTTGGTTTAAGGTTTTGGCATCAGATGCATATGATTTTGATGGTCGTTCTGTGATGCGGAGAGTAGCTTTGCTGCATGACTCTATTGTCACCTCAAAGGATCACACCAAAAGCTCCAAAGTAAGGACTTCCTGACCCTCATGAGTGCTGGTTGCTACCACCGCATACCACCTACTAACTACTAAGAAATAAATATATAAACAAACAAACTTTCGCTAACTGACTAACTGATCTAACTAACCAACTAAGTAAGTAAGCTAACTGAGTAAGCTAACTAACTGACCAACTAAGCTAACCTGCCTAACCTAAACTAACCAAACCCAACCCAACCTAGTCTAGCCTAACCCAAATTATATATAACTAACTAAACTAACTCAACTAAGTAACTTAACTAAGTTAACCAAGTAACTAAACTGACTAAACTAACTAAACTAGCTAGACTAACTTGCGAACTAACCAACCAACCAACCAACCAACCAACCACCCAGCCAGCCAGCCAGCCAGCCAACCAACCAACCAACCAACCAACCATAGCTAACTAACTAACAAATGAACTACCTAACTAACCAACTAACTAACTAACCTGCCTAACCTAACCTAACCTAACCGACTAGGTTAACTAGCTATTTAGCCAGACCAAACTAAGTTTAATTAAACTAACTAACCTTAACTTAACTAACCTAACTAAGCAACTAACTGACTAACTAACTAGCTAGCTAGCTAGCAAACTCACCAACTTACTCAATTTGTACTTACTTAGTTTCGACTAAACTAATTTAACTATTCATAAAAGTAACTAAACTAGCTAATAGTAATAACTAGCTAGCTAGCCTCACAAACTTAGTTGATTTGTACTTACTTTCATATCTTATCTCTTACTTGCTTATTTACTTTCTTACTGCTAAGTTACTACTACTACTACTACTACTACTACTACTACTACTACTACTACTACTACTACTACTACTACTACTACTACTACCTACTACTACTACTACTACTACTACTACTACTACTACTACTACTACTACTACTACTACTACTACTACTACTAACTACTAACTACTAACTACTAACTACTAACTACTAACTACTAACTACTAACTACTAACTACTAACTACTAACTACTAACTACTAACTACTAACTACTAACTACTACTACTACTACTACTACTACTACTAC